ACGATGGTATTTATTAGAAGTTGCCAATGTATGTACTGCGGTCAAATAGTAGCAGCGGGTCGGGGCAAACAGTGGGATGAAATGGGAAGGCAATGATGTTTGGACGAGGCTGAGGATAGTCGGTCGGTCGGTCGGTCGGTCGGAAACGGGTGCGAGTGCGAAAGCGATGATGATAACGGGTGACGCCGCAGCCCCCAACTGAGACGTGCAGCACTGCAGCCGTGCCTGGACGACTTGCAATGGTTGCATGTGAAGTCCCCAAGCGGCATGGATTGACTGACCACATGTGCGACATGGCCGCGAGTGCTCGTTGGAACGTCTGGCATGCGCCACCATGGGCCGAGGCTGCAGCGCGCATCCTGGACGCCTGGGCATGGCGGCATTCCTGGGACTTGACAGGCTGATGGGGTCAATCAAATGCCGTGTCTGAGCCGGGCTAGGCACTCCGTACGTACATGGGAAGTGCCTGGCATCATCGATGACGGACCATGGATCGCCTGCCGCGGTGGAGAGTTGGCATCGGCCATTATATCTGAGCGCCTTCGCATAATGCTTTTTGTTGACGCCGGATTGAAGGAACCATGCTTCAGTGATTTACCATCATCATGGCCGACAATTCCCCCAAGATTACGCTGTACTGGTATGATTATGCTGCCCAAACACGGACACATTTGTCTGGTCACCACGCTCTTCTCCCCATCCACCCAAACCTTGCCGAGACTGATGAACTACATGCTCACTCGACTGACCCAAAACAAAGGCTCAACCATTCGCGCTCGCAGCGCATCATATGGCTCCTCGAGGAACTTAAAGTCCCCTATGAAATCGAAGTCTTCCACCGCGACAAGGAAACACTCCTCGCGCCCAAGGAGCTCGAACAGATTCACCCACTGGGTAAATCGCCCGTGATTGCAATCGTGCCCCCCGGCGGCGATGCAAGCAAGCCCATTGTTCTGGCCGAGAGCGGATTCATGACGCAGTATCTCGTGGACCATGTGCCCGAGGGAAAGAAGCTGACGCCCACGAAGTGGCAGGATGGCAAGGAGGGCGTCATTGGCGGCGAGACGGAGGAGTGGTTGCGCTATGGCTATTACATGCATTACGCAGAGGGGAGTTTGATGCCGTACTTGGTCCTTGCGCTGGTGCTGTCTCGTGAGTATTTCTTCTTCTTTTTTTATTTTCTTGCCCATGATAATACGCCAGCCGATGGCGCGGGATTGTTCACGATTCAATCCGCGGCTAACTGGGTCTCGGAATAGGCCTCAAGTCTCCTCAGGTCCCTTTCCTCGTCCGCCCCATCACGTCCATCATTGCCAACCGCATCATCTCCATGTTTGTCTTCCCGAATGTCAGCAAACACCTTGCCTTTCTCAACCAGCAGCTCGCGACGTCGGGCGGCAAGTACCTCTGCGGCGATAAGCTGACCGCCGCGGATATACTCATGAGCTTCCCTGTTATCGCTGGGTCTGGCCGGTTTGATGAGCTGGGCTACTTTGAGGGCGGGTCGTGGGAGAAGGCGTATCCCAGGGTTGCAGAGTATGTCAAGGTGTTGGAGTCGGAGGAGGGGTACAAGAGGAGCGTGGAGAAGATTGAGGCTATTGATGGCAAGTTTGAGGCCTCGTTGTAGGGGCGAGACGATGTGCTGGTGTTATGTCATGTGGTTGACGGACGTAATACTTGCAGCTGCCAGGGAGGCTATGATAACCTAGAGGTGTACTTTGCATGCCAGGTAGTTGGTACATGCGCGTCCACCGGAACGGAAACTTTTCTTGTGATGATGAATCAATTTTAATTATGTATGTATTGGCACCGAGATCAAATGCCATGTACTTGAAATAGTGGCATTGCAGTATTGCAAAGACAATTGACCTTGGTAGCTAACATTTGTTGAAGCTTTGTGAAACGCAGTCTCCATTCATTGGCCAAGTGGGCCCGCATCCCTGTCGCCAACCACACCCCTCGAAAAAGTTCCCACAAAGAGCCGTCGACCTTGAACATCTTCTATGTATGCCAGACGACAATTCGTGGCAACTCGCGCGCGCGCATTCGCCATGTACGCGTCAAGAACTGTATGTTCACGATGCGCCTCTAGTGTGCGTGCCGCTGTGCCACCGACGTACAGATCGGCGCCTGGAGCTGGGTCTGGATCTGTCGCGTGGTTCTCATCAACGGCCTCGGCGGCTTCACAGCAGGCTTCGAGCTCGAGTTCAACTCCCCATAGCTTCAGACAAACCAGTGAAGGGACCATTTCCAAGACTGGCAATCCTCAACCTCGACAGCCCCCATTCTCTCAGAAAGCGGGTGCATCTTCAAAGAGGCAGCCTAGACGGAACAAGGACGCCTCTGCGGCTGTAGCTCTGTTCAACGATGTGGTTCAAAAATCCGAGGTCGCTGCTCCCAGAGAGTTCCCTACCCGACCTACTTCTCGCCAGTCTTCTGCGTCTACTGTGTTTGGAGAATGGGAGATTGCCGCCAAAATGAAGGAGCTGGAGGAAAAGGATGTCGAACCCCTCGAGAGATTGCGTCTCTTCCAGAACGACATATGGCCACATGTTAAGGAACTTCGTGGTCAGATCCCAAAGCACCTCTATCTTGCAACCACCATGTTCTTGGCGCGCACATTTGACACGGTTGCTCAACAAGGTCTCACTGGCGCCAGCGTCGCTCTTTCGAAAATGTGTGCCACAATTGGAAAGTGGGATCTAGACATGCGGAACCAGCTCGTTTTGAATCTGTGCCACACATTAATCAGCAAGAAGCATACTTCGGCGGAGCGGAATGCCCTCGTTGACGAGCTCTTGGACATGTGGAAGCATATTTCACAATTACGGAGGATGAGTCAGTTGCACAATGGCAGGCTCTGTTTCGTTTTGCCGTCCGAGGATGAGATCATCGAGGATATTTCAAGCTCTTCAACATCTTTGACGAAGCAGACCGAACCAGGCGAGGTCAAGTCCTCAAACATGGCACCTACGACAAAAGCCCTGGCGAGTATTTTTATTCAATTCCGATTCGAGCAAGCTCGTGAACTTGTGTCTGGTCTATTGGCCACCCTTGCTATACTTTCGGATCCGCGTTTGGCGAGAGATGGCAGCCAAATCAAGGCAGCACCACTGTTGAATCTCGTTTCCATCGTATTGGACCACCAGCCTGCAGACACCGCCTATGTCAATGACATCTTTGCCGGCAAAATAAGATTTCCGTCTTCAAAACTGGCCGATTTGCAGTCCTACGTGCTAGCACAGTGGCCGCAGGCTAGAGACATGGTTATGAGGCACGACTCGGAATGGCGAAAAAGCACTACATCGTCTCACAAGCCATCTCGCTCGTCGAGTGAGTCGTCCTGCCTATCAGCTTTCCACAAGCAGCTCCGTGCCGCCTATCGATCTCGCAACACCGGTGCTATTGTATCTATCTGGCAGGATCTCAATGCCACTTTAGTTCAAGATCAAGATCTGCGCCGGCAGATGAGCGAGGACCCAGACTTTCTGGATTTTTGGATTTTTGTCTGGTGTGCCGTAAGACGACCCAAGAAGCTGCAAGAGACATTGGATCTCATGCGTGAAGTCGGCATCCAGCCTACGGTGCGATCATATACGAGCATGATGCACGGGTGGAAAATGTGCAAAGACGCAGACCGTATTGAAGCCCTTTGGAATAAGCTGGTTGAATCGGGACTGAGACTCGATGCCGTCATATGGACCGAGCGCATCTCTGGTCTGATTGAGGCCGGCAAGCCACAGTCGGGCATCCAGGCGCTCGCCGAGATGCAAGCTCTGTGGAAGAAAGCAGTTGCCAGTAGAGGCAGCGTCGAAAGCGCGGCCAATGTCGCCGTCCAGCCCAGCACAGAAGTCGTCAATGCCGCCTTCAAGGGCCTCATTGGCCTGGATCGACGGGCAGCAAACGAGGTGCTCTACTGGGCTGGGAGGGAAGGCATCGAGCCCAACATCCGGACATACAACATTCTTCTGAGGGAGAGTCTCCGCAACAGCGCCCCCGAGGATGTGCAGAGTCTGCTGAAGGCCATGAAGAAACGGGGCGTCGAGCCCGACGCGGCCACGTTTACGATTATCCTCGAGGGACTGCTCGGTTCCATGGAGAACGCATCCGCAGCCGAGCAAGTCCATGTCGTGAGCCAGATCCTCGGAGACATTGAAGCAGCGGGACTGAGGGCAAATCACGAAACGTACGGCAAGATGCTGTATGCCGTCGCGTCGCTTGCCAACGGCGGTGCGGACGAAGCCATTGCCGCCGTGCAGGACCACATGAAAGCCGCCGGGCTGTCGGCCACGCCGCACATGGTGACGATTCTCATCGAGCGGGCCCTTTCTCGAGATCCCCTGCCTGCTGATGCGGGCGCGACCGTCCGCGCCCTCCTCAAGGAACACGGCCTGTCTAATGTCGCGCAGGGCGACCAGACGCTGTGGGAGCGGGTGATGAGCGCCCACGCCGTCACGGGGGACAGGGCCTCTGCCATGGCGGTGTTTGACGACCTTGCGCGTGCAGGACGGCCCGTCACCTCGCTGCCCTGCTTGACCGATCTGCTCAAGGCCCTTCTAGCTTCGGAGGATGCCCAGGCCGCACAGGACGCGAGGCAAGTCGTGGGTGTAGTGCTGAATCATAAGAAAGCGGCGGCAGAGGGCTCGTTTGGCAGAGACACGCGGTATTGGAGGCACCATTTTTGGTACTTGGCAAGGGAAAACGGGTTGATCGACTGGCAGGAAGTGCCGGCTCTTCTGGAGAGTAAGCTGCGCGGATGAAGCTTTGTACCACACCGTCTGAGAAGAATCTCGGCCATGGGTGACGTGTGATGTGTGGTGTGTGCAATATCATGTACGATAGATGTATCAACACTTGTAAATAAAGATGTATATTACCTCGCTTTCCTCCCCTTCAAGGGAACCTCGTTGACGACCGCTCATCCCGGCACCCAGAACCCCCCCATCACAACTCACAAGTCTCTTGGTAAAGAAGGGGGAAACAGCAACACAGCAACAGCATCAAGACTCATCCACGGTCTTGTCGTCCCCTTTCGACCCTCCCCCCTCATTTGCCAACAGCGAGGCAATATTCTCCAAACCCTCCACCTCGCCTCTCGCCAACGACCTCCCCCCGCCGTGCCACTCCCCGTCGCGAACCTCCCCGTGCGGGCCGAGTTCCAACGCCCCCGATCGTTCGAGATACTTGCGCGACGCGCCCTCGATGTACTCTGCTCGCTCGCGGCGCCACGACTTGCCGTCCGCTTCTGCTTCCTCCCCGGTCTGCGCACCTAGTTCCGGCAGCAGCCGCCTTAGAGATTCCGACAGCGACCGCAGAGAGTTCAACTGCGACAGCGTGAATTCCGTAGTCGTAGTAATCGGTTTATTTGTCCCGCCCTGCTCGAGCGCCGCCTTTTCGCGCAGGAATCCGAGCTGTTTGTCGTCCCCCTCAGGGGCAGTCCCTTCCTTTTCTGCTTCTTCCTCCTCCTCCTTAACCGCGTCCTGCGCGGTGGAGACGCCCAGTACGCGCTTCAACTTTCGTAGTAGTGCGTCGTTTCTTGCCCTCTCCGCCTCGAGAGACATGTGCAGTTTCTGGCTGGCGTGCAGCCTTCGTCTTAGGGCGTTGACGCTCTCCACTGTTGGTTTGTCGGGGCTGCTTGACAGGTCGAGGCCGTCGTAGTGCGATAGGCGCATGAATGGCTGGTCTTGGGGCTTGACCGTCAGGATGTTTTGCATGGTGTAGAGCTCGAAAATGTCAAAGTTTTTGTCGATGGCGGCGTTGAGGAGGGTTTCGAGCTGGTGGGTGCCGTTTTCTATCTCGAGCTTGGCTGCGTCGAGGGCGGTTTGGGCGGCATCGGGGTCTGTCGCTTTGGGCTTGGGCACCTTGAAGCCTAGGTTTTGGGGGGGGATGGTGAGGAGGAGGCGTTCGACCGAGTCGAGGGCGCGGTCGGCGAGCACGTTGATGGTGTTGATGATGTCGTCGAGGAGGGCCTGGGCGGACTGGGTGAGTGGGTGAGCTGGGGTTTGGGAGGACAGGTGTACGCACCACTGGCGGGTAGCTAAAGTGCTCTGTGAGGAGCTCGTAATCCGACCCGTTGGTGGCCATGATGGTTGGAGTCGAGCGGCACGCGCCCTTCAACGCGTCCTGCACTGCGGCGCCGGTCGAGGGCGCGGGGATGAGCGGTGTGTCAAGGCAACGTCAAGGCACTGGTTAGGAGGCAATCATATTTCGTGTTGTACCTGAAAGAACAAAGAGAGGGGAAAATCCAGCAATGGCATGTGGTGTTGCGGTTGCACAGAACCAACCTCTGACATGCGGCACGACGAGGTGCATCGACCGACATGGACATGGACGGACATCTATCTGGACCCACACACCGACTTGTCGGAAAGAACCCCACGCACGCGGCCTCGAACCCCTACGTCACCCCGCTTCGCACACAAGCTCGTGTCAAGTACTTTAGGATCTGAGGTTGGCACCGACAGGTCGTTGCGCCATCACCGTCAACGCCTCCCCTCATGGGCTCATCTCACACACTCTCCTTCATTGCAATGTCCCTAAGCTCATGCAGCATTTGACGCCGCCAAAGAATAGAAACCAAACTTCCCACCTAGAGCGTACTCGCATAGGCCCCCAAACATGTCCCAGTTCAAGGACATCATGAAGAACGGGTGGCATCCGGAGAAGTCGGGAACCGGAATCAGGGGCTCAGTGGTGCGTACTTGGCCTTGGCCTACCCCTACGACAACCTCCTCGCATAGATACCCATCTAAGCACCTATGTACTGACAAGATCTGTTGCTGCCGACCAGTCTGGCCTCATGGGCCGCAACAAGGATAACAAAGACGACAGCAGCTTGAACCACGTTGCACGTCCACTGACCGACCTCAAGGACCCGGCGTCCTTTGCACCGCCGCCCAGACGAACAGGCTCTGGTCTTGCGCCGCCTCCAAGCCCAGTCTCGACAAAGCGCAAGGTTGTTGCGGCTCCGTCCAAATACGCCGATCCCAGAGCTCGGCCGGCTGAGCTTCCACCGCGGAGTACTGCGTCAGGCGTGGAGAGTGGCGAGGCCTCGCCGACGCGGGACGGTGTCGACAGGAGGAGTCCGCCCTCGTACGACGAAGCTACTTCAGGGGCGGCCGTCTCAAAGGCACCGCCGCGTAGTCTGCCGCCTCGACTGCCTCCGAGAGGTGCCGCCGGAGGGGGCGAGAAGAGCGCCCATCTCAACGAGGGAGCCGTGAGCCGGCTCGGTGCAGCGGGCGTGTCTGTTCCGGCGCTGGGAATTGGCCGTGGCGGCACCGCCCATTCAACCTCACCAAGTCCCCCGCCCACCTCGTCACGGGCTTCACCTTCGGCCGAAGCATCAGGGGCCGGGAAATGGGGCGCCCAGGTCAACCAGCTCCAAGGCCGCTTCGCCAAAATGGCCACCCCTTCAGCGGCGTCCTCTGCCCAGGAGCAGCAGCCCAGCCAAGGCACCTCGTGGGCTCAGAAGCAAGCAGCTTTCAAGACGGCGTCGGCCTTCCAAAAGGATCCCTCGTCCGTCTCCTTCTCCGATGCCAAGGCCGCGGCCAGCACGGCCAACAACTTTCGACAGCGCCACGGGGAACAAGTTGCCGCAGGCGCCAAGGCCGCCAACAAGTTCAGTCAAAACTACGGCATCGCGGACAAGCTTGGTGCGTACGCTGGCTCGCAATCTACACGGCCGACCCAGAACAAGTCCGAGCCGCCGCCGCTACCCGGTCCAAGTCAGCCATATACAGGTGCCACGAATGATGCTGCTCAAGCGGCGGTCTCAGGATTGGCTGGCAAGAAGAAGCCGCCGCCGCCGCCCCCTAAAAAGAAGCCAGGTCTCGCTGCTGCAGCAGCTCCGGACCCTGCCTCTGCTGCACAGGGAGATATGCCTCCTCCCATCCCAATGTCTACGAGGCCACAATTCTAGGGATTTTGCAATCTTTGAGAGGCTAGTCGTGTTAACCAAAAATTTCTGTGTACAGAGCATCGCATATCGGCGTTCCTCCCCAAGGCTTTTTCGTGGGTGTGCATTTTGAGTCATTGCCAGGTTCGACGTAAGGGGTTCGGAGTCTCAAAGAAACATGTCCGGTGAACAGAAATGAATGTTCCCAAGAATATGCTACACTAGCATCCTCTTCAGAGTCACTTGGCCCAAGCAAAAGAACGGGTTCTAGCGATTCCTCATCTGTGTTGTTTTTTCATATTCCTGCTATAAATGCGGCGACATACGCCAGGCGCTGAAAAAGACGCACTACAATAGCTTTTGTTTTTCTAAATCATAGCCCTCATACATCAAACTTCATATGCAGATCATCATCAGATTAAAAATCGCTCTTAGACCTTCATCTCAGTGAGACCGTGCTTCCAGACAATGACGTAGGGAGTAACACCGTCATCGCGGTAGTTGAGGAGAACCACACTGGCATCATGATTAGCAAATTTTGGCTTTTCTATCCAAGCACGACCGAGTAGGAAGCCACGCAGCGAGATCAGTAAGGCCAGCTAGTACTTACAGGCCATCGGGGTTCATGGACTCGCCAGTGTAGAACTCAAAATCCTTGAAGTTGGGCAGGAGCTTCTCCTTGACATAGGCCTGGGCGCCCTTCTCGAAGGCGGTGATCTCATCAGCAGAAGCATTGCGCTCCTGAAGGCCAGCCTTGACAGCCTTCATGAAGCCTGTGGGGTGAATCATCAGCATCATTCATTGCGACTCTTAATAGCGACATGTCGGGGGGAGTTCTGTAAACATCAAGTCGCATGTACTTACCCTTAAGATAGGCGAGGTAGCCCTTCTTGTCGAAGGAGGTGCTTTGGAGACGGAAAGAGTGGACGATGTTGTTGACCTTGACGGCAGTGTCCTCAAGAGCCTCATCAGCCTCCTCAGCGGAAGCATTGGCACCAGTGTCTATCAAGTGGGAGTTGTTAGCATCAAGACGCGCTTCCTATGAAGATGAATCAAGGAACATAGAGTATAGCCCGGAGAGTGAATGGCACAGCTCGAGCTGGCAATTGAACAAGACGGAGCCAAGGAAGCATATGCCGACAGCTGATGTTGCATAGGAGGCGCGGGGGCTGTATGCAGCTATCGTCGCAGGTGACCAGGCCACTGGAGGATTGACAGTGGTGGTGGTTGTTTTGGTCGAAAGACGAGGGGCAGGCGGTAGGCGGCTGGCGGCGGGGTTGAAAAAAGTACATCAGACATACCGACATTGACAGCCTCCTCAGTAATCATGGCACAGTCGGCCTCGTAGACGATGCCGTCAACCAACTTGAGGTCATACGAGTCGGAGATGATCTCGTCACCGGTGATGAGGTCCTATTGAGATTGCGCCGTCAGCATGGTGAATGGTAATGTTTCGCAACTCCAAGGACAGTGTGGGCAGAGTGGCGGGGTAGCCGCAGCAAAGGACGTCTGCTCTTGTTGTTGATGGATTTTTTGTTCGCTTCTGGCCATGGGTTTTCAGACGCGACGAGATTATTGGCTCGAGCGACGTACCTTGTAAATAATCATGATGGCGGTTTGGTAGACTCGAGGCCGTAATTGCTATGAGATACTGGATGAGGAGGTGGTGCAAGGAGAAGAAGAACGGGAAAAAAAACCAAGTGGAGATGGTGTATGTAGAAGATGGGAGTGGCCAGGAGGGGAGGATGTGGATCGCCAACTGGTGTTCTCGAGAGGACACTGACTTGGGGAAGAGGAGTAAGTTGTCGAGTGGTGGGGTTAGTTTTTGATTTTTTTTTTTTTTGTTTTTTTTTTTTTTGATTTTTTTTTTTAAAAAAAAAAACATGTCCCCTTCTCTCAGCCTAGATGCTCTGCCCCTCTCCTGCACGCACTAAGTTTTATGCCAAACATAGCAGACGAGAGACTAGTACTTGCCCAGCATCAGCCTGGGACTCAGCCCGGCAGACAGACGAGCACTTGGTAGCGCAACCCTAATGTGATGGTGGAAAGTATGCATCTCAAGATACATATGTAGCTTTACTTGAGACTACCGCCGCCAAAGCAAAGAAAAAAAGAGGTGCTGGGTGTGAGGCAACCATGTTTTATCCCATTGGGGCCATTATCTAGCACATGCTGAAGACTTGCCCGAGCATCAACATGCAGGGTTGCCCAACGGACATCTGGTTGGACTCGGACATCCGACCTTCAGAGGCACAACGGAGCTCTCTGAATATGTGCAATACTTGGCCCGGCCACGGTACCGAGCGTGGGATTACACGCCGCAGTCATCAATGATTGATGATTGTCTGGGAGAGCAGCTCAACGTCAGGGTCCTTGACATCCGGGTGGGCTGATATCCTGATTCGACGCGTGACGTCGGCTGGCTTTGACCGCGGCGACCGAGATTGGCCAAGCATTAGCCACAGGCGATTGACAGCCAGGTCTGGCTTCAAGCGCTCATGTACGGAGTATCATGTATCATGTATCATGTATCCTGTTGGGTGAGGCTCTGTCAGTTTGGAACAAAATGATCGCTCATGCCCCATCCTTTTGAGCACTGCAACATGTTTCCGAGCCTCCGAGCCGCGAGCCGCGACCGCGACGCCACGATGTTCCTTGGGCTCTTCTTGCCTTTCCTCTGTTGCGCCCTGCGTACGGAGTACCACTTGTTGGAACACCTCAATAGAATAACCCACCCTTGCCGTCCCATCATCCCATCAGCACTCTCATCATCCCATTGTTTCGCTTTGGCACCTTCGCTCCTTTTCGCCACGCTGTCTTCCACATAACTGAGCCGTTTGTTATCTCTTTTTCTTTTCTTTTTTTGTTTTTGGTCTTGCCGTTGTGAGCAACGCATTTTTCACACCATCTTAATCGCCCTCATCGCCATTGACTCGGTGCACTAGTGCTCTCTCCTTTTCACCACCGTCCGCCGACGTCGCCCAACCTCACCCTTGCCGCAGAAACCGCCGGTCGCGGCATTTGCTCCTCGACGTCACTCGACCAGCGCCTCGGACGAACATCATATTAATTGCGGACAGTACCCACCAAGCAGAGATTTGCGGAACCTACTGTCAGCAGTACAGACCATGGTCAACGACACCAAGGGTTCACCCGTACTGTTCGCCATGGCAAACACTACCTTGTTCGATTCGGCTTTGCCGCCGCTGCCTTCGTATACCCTCGAGCCCAGAGGCGACTTCTTTTCATGGATCTCTGACTTTTGGCTTTCGCTCATCCTGCCCGTCTTCGTCTACTGGGTAATGTCGCTATTCTTCCACGTTATTGATGTCCTCGATCTCTTTCCCCAGTACCGCCTTCACACCCCCGAAGAGATCCTGCGCCGCAACCACGCCTCCCGATATGAGGTGGCGCGCGACGTCGTTATCCAGCAGATTATTCAGGTTGCCACGGGTACTGTCTTGGCCCTGTCCGAGCCTCCCGAGGTGATTGGAAAGGCAGATTATGACGTTGCCGTCTGGGCTACTAGACTTCGACTTGCGCAACGAGCCCTGCCTGGATTTCTGAGTCTTCTCGGTGTCAATGCCACCGCCATCTCCAAGAGCATGTCGGCAACGCATCCTTTGCTAGCTGGTGCTCTTGCTGGCGGTTACTACCCGTTTCTCTCATCGGCTGAGTCTACTGCGCCTGCTTTTGCTCCCTGGGAGATGGCTGTTGCTAAAGTCCTCTATCATCTCATTATTCCAGCCATTCAATTTTTCGTGGCCGTCTTCTTCCTCGATTCATGGCAGTACTTCCTGCACCGACTGATGCATGTGAATCGATGGATGTACAGTGAGTCTCGATCCTGCTGTCCACTGTCCGGCTCTATCCTCGCAAGTCAAATCGTGAGCAAACAGCTGACATCTTCTCCATAGCTACTTTTCACTCCAGACACCACCGACTCTATGTTCCGTACGCATACGGCGCCTTGTACAACCACCCACTGGAAGGTTTCTTGCTGGATACACTCGGTGCCGGTATTGCGTTCAAGCTGACCGGCATGACGGTTCGCCAAGGCACTTGCTTCTTTGCCTTCTCGACGATCAAGACCGTCGATGACCACTGTGGATACGCCTTTCCCTGGGACCCTCTGCAGCTCATCACCTCTAATAACGCCGCCTATCACGACATTCACCACCAGACCTGGGGAATCAAGACCAACTTCTCCCAGCCATTCTTCACCTTCTGGGACGGCCTATTGGGTACCAAGTACAAGGGCCCTCGAGCCGACAGACTTGCCGATAAGAAGCGAACCGAGAAAACGAAATAGACGATGTTCATGCCGCTATTTTCAACGTAATAATTAGTCTTTGCTTCGATATCATGTTTGATCCACAACTGCTCTGGGAGCCTTTACAATCATACGTGTTTTTTCCCTGTTGTTTTAATCGACTTATTACAACTTTTATTCCTCAGTGAGACATTTGGGGCAAAACCGTTTTGTATGATGACGCGAACGCCTCAGCGCCGCATTTATAATTCTTAATCTTTCTTTGTCTTCTATGGTCGATCAATGGTGGACATATTCTGTCATTAGCTCGTTAGTCATATGCCTCCCAAGATCGCTATGCCGAATTGGTAAGGTGACAACGTGTGGTGGAATCGAGAACAACTGCCAATTGTACAAAACCTGCCGGCCCTCTTATTTTATCCTTCAAAGAACGAAAGAAGAACAAAAAACACATAGCAGCAGCGATGGATCATGCAGACAACATCGATAGGCTGGCATTCTGCGTCACGGACATGTTGGTAGTTATTGGGTGGGACTAGGCCCTTTTGGGTGACGAAGAGGATGATATTCTCGTTTCTTGCGAAATTGGAGGGGGGACTTTGTTCTCATGTAACATCTATAATGTTCGGTTGGTAGGGCACAAGTTGGAAACAAAGAATAAAACGTTTCTTCATCATGACGGGGACGACGTGACAAGAGTACGTAACGCGAGTTGGTGTAGCACGGTAATTGGTAGTCGTATCGGGCGCGTTAGTCCAGCTGTTGGAGAGACCCTTGAGGGTTGCTTTGACAGGACCCTTCATGCTCTACATGTCAGTGCCGGTAGGGAGGCGATTGACAGGACGAAAAACAATTATAGCATTCAAAGGACGAATTCTTATTTATTTTTTATTTATTTTTCGCCGCAAAACCCTCCCAGCACGGGACGCCTACCGCCGAGGAACATCAAGACACGCTTGACGGATTTCAATCCGGAGATGTCATGATTTGAATCAATTGCTCTCCATATTAAAGTGTGTCTGGATTCTAGTGTTGTTATCAAGTGGCATTGTTTTCAAAAGCTGACATTATCGGTCACTAGCGCATCAACGAAACTGAGCCCAGCAACGGGAGACGAGACCAATGGCGTCAGTTCAGCTCGGCTAGGTCCGTTCTTTGGGCTCTTGGACATTGTTGGACATTTATAGTTTGCAATGTAGCAGTACTTCCGTCCACCCGTTCAACATTACGTTGAATGGTGTGGATCCTGAGATCGGCGACTCCCATTTCTCCCATTTCCACGAGGTAGCACAGGTCGTCCCGACTGGCTTCGCTGCGCTCCAGGCTGTCCATTGTGTGGCCAAAGACCGGTGCTGCTGAGTACGTATGTATCGCCAGCGGACTGGCGTTGCGGAGAGCTTTGGCTGGCCTGTAACGATACACAAGCCAGGCTGGCGTTAATGCCAGACATGCTGCATGCACAATAATAAGCGCACCCAAACTATCTTGCATGTCCGGGGAACGAAATATATCAAAGCCGGCCTGTCCGGTGTGAGGTCCCTCCATCGTGGGCGTGCGTCTCGACCAAGTTGGGAGCAAATCGTGCCGCCTGGGTCAGCGTGGACTGGTCTGGAATACTACCAAAGGCCTATCGGATTCCGCATCACCCTGACATAATCAATTCGTCAGGTCGTTTGTGGCACAGCGACTGCCGTCAGACAGAGACCAAGTAGTAGCTGTTGATGCGAGACACATATGGGGGCGTGCAACACTGCATGCGACGCTACAGATATGCGTGCAACATGACGCATAAAGTGGTACAAGAATGCGTAACATGTCTCAGCGTCATGATTGTCACTTGGAATCCATTACTCGATATCATGGCATAGCATCATTTAAGTTATTTACTGACTGGAAAACGATGGATCATTTTGCTCAATACGGAGTCTGTACTGTCGACACTGTGCCTTTCCACGGGGGCCCCTGCAATGCAGTACGGAGTCAATAGTACGTAGTATTTTGGCGACAAGGCGAGTCAGCAGGCAATTATTTTATGGGAATATTTGTTCGGTTCTGGAATTAGCCACAAGTGGTTCCACAAGCCGCTGGTCCTTCCATATTACACGAAGCACTCCGTATCGTGTCTCAAGATGCTAAGCTTTCCTGTAACGACGGGGCTGTATTATACCAGCTCAATACTCCGTATTAGTTTGTGTATGTACTTGCTTTTTCTCGGCCTGGCACCAGTCAGTTATGGAAGTGCGGAGGAGACCATTTGGGATGAGGAGACAAGAACCTATGCATACCTAGGTACATACTGTGCCGAGTACTACTCTGTAGGCGTTCCAAAATTAGAGATCTTGACAACTTGGCGTGTTGGCTGGGCAGACCGGGAGATTTCTCGAACCCGTGCACAGGTGGCCGGGCGCAACAAGGATGGAGTTAGAAGACCTGGCCATAATTTAAACGAGGATGGTCCTTTGTCCCCCCTCAATTCTAAGAGTTCAAACGGCATATGAGATCAGCGCTGGGAGCTCGCAGCTGGCAACGATCACATTGGAGCCAGAAACTGGCAGCGGGCACACAGCTGGGCCCCTGCTGGGCCCCTTGGCCCCTCTTTCCTGCGTCATGCTTCAGGGCCGCTCCTTCCTTTCTTCGTTCGGACGATGCTAGACTCCATCGTATTCAGCCCATGTTTCCCCACGGTTGTCTCAAGCACGCTTCATGTCAACCTTTATTATCCAACTTCGTTTGTTGGTCCCCATGTATTATTGGCCTCGGCGTCTGGTGTGCATTCTCAGTCTTCCAGGCAGCTTGGCCTGGCCCAGTGGGCAACTCTGAACTCGGCCAAGACGCAACGCAACCCTCGAGGTCCAAGTCGTGGTCTAATCTCCATCCGCCGTTGCAGCGCATGCTGCGTGCCGTGTGCGATTGCGACGAAAGCTCGACTTCAAGGACCTGCCGCTATAATCAAATCAAATTATGCTTTCGCAGTGCTACAATAGGCATGCGCTATTAGACTTTCGAGTATCAGCTGAAGTGTCCGCCGCACCCGTACACGGCGCCATTTTCGTCTGCTCACCTTTTGACGCTACACCAGTTTTGTGTGCCCCGGCAAGCCACTCAACCCACTTGGCACTCCAGCAATCTCCATCTCCACAACGAACCGCCGGAACCGTTGGCCAGCGTCGCTCGTCAAGCAGACTGCTCAAACACTTGGACATAGGGCGGACGGGTACCGGTACAAGTGCTCAGTGGCCAAGCCGGCCCTCGTCTCATGTTAGTCTTCTCGTCGACGCTCGAATTGACCCTATTTCACTTATTTGGTCTGCGGCACCCGGCCTCCTGACTCTGCTGTTGTTATTCTCTTCCCTTCTCCTCCGTATTCATGCGAAGAGAAGGCGGTTTCCCAACCGCCCAGCAGCCGAATCGTTACGGACCCCGTTTTCCGACCTGCTCATGCACCCAGCATGCCTCGGGAGCACTGATCATTTAACGGCTCTGATACTCCGTATTCCTGGGCTGACTTCAACGTCCGCGGCGCCGTCTCCTCACCCGTGCGGTGCTCATTGCGGACATCTGGATACGCAATACGCTCAGAAACTCGTGCCAACAAAGCCCGACTTGCTCCGTAGGCCCTTCGCTTAGTTGCTGTACTTGGCCGCATTCGACAAAATCAAATTACTACCACCCGGTGGCTCTTTCGCATAGCCGTTTTGCCCGGTCTCCGATGCTCGCGTTCTCTGCTTGCACATCAGCTTCAGCCTCAGCGTGTTCCAGGGCCTCGTGGCCAGACTGGGACCAAACAACCCCTAGCATCTCACACGCATAAGCCAAGGAATATCATATCCACAGCACCCTTGCCGAGCTGCCTGTCAAGTCTAGCCTTTCGGGCGTCCAATATTTTACACTGCTAAGCGCTCATCCTCGTCTCAGCAGCAGCCTTTCACAGCCTTCACTCAGCCAGCAATTGCTCCATTTCGGCGCTTCCGCCAGCGCTCCCACGCCATCATTGGCCAATTGGCTCGGGTCGGTGATCTCGGGTTCCTGCGTTGTTCCAATGTGCAACGGTCGCTCCGTGTTTCAGCACCACCGTCCCATTCATGATTGAGCGTGAGAGACACGCAACAGCGGAAGTGATTTACAGGGCCCTGGTATCCAAGCAGCATTAGGCGCCGGCACATGTAGTTGCCTGCAGCGACGGTGCTTCACCTGCATATAATATTTGAGGCCTCGGACTCTGGCATGTTCTTATCTTCGCCATGGATCCTGCAACCACTCTCTTCACATTTTTACTGTGAGTTTAATTGCTGTCGTCTGCTGCACCTTAATAATATTTGTTCCCTTTTGATTATTTTGTTTTTTTGTGGAATTTCGTCTCTCATGCGAAAGGGGTCGACCCTTTTTAGTCTTTTTCGAGACACCTCGTGCTGTTGTTTCGCTCTCATCTTGCAACATTCCAAACAAATAGCATCCCTCCCTTGAATCATTTACGCCACAGCTTCGTCTATATTTTGCGGCATACCAGATCTCCACTTCTTTGAATCTTTTGCCTCATTCCATACTTTGTACGCTTCACTCTGTCGCAGGTATATTAGCTCCATAGTCCTTTCTCTGTCCTTCGCGCGTTTTCGTGTCTCAGTCCTAGACACCTCATTGTCTGCAGTCGCGTCAGAGTCATTGTCTGCTGAATCTCGCACTCATTCCGAACATGCCAGTCTAGTGACTTGTCGTGTGAAAGACTAATTAGACCCGACGCAACTTTACGTGCAACCCTTCGCGAGAGTAATGTGCTAACCCAGGTGCTTATTACAGTCAGACGGATCCGTCCGTGAAATCAGTCCATCTTATTGGCTCTTGGAACAACTTTTCCACGTGGTACGCAATGAAGCAAGACGTGCGACGCGGCCGTGGCCAATGGAGAGGGTGTTATTCATTTAAAGATATAATTTCCCACGATGAGTCCTCCAGTCACTCATCGACGAGGAATGGGGGACTGAAAATGGGCGACACATATTACTACTACGTAAGTCATTCTCATTTCACCACCCATAACGCGTGTTTAGTAAGTCCCTTTCTCACATGAATGCCTATCTGTCAGTACGAAGTAGATGGCTCTACTGAAATACACGACCCAGCCCAACCGTCGACGACTTCTTGTCCTTACCTGCCAGGCCAAACGGTCAACACTCTTCACGTTCCCATTGAACAAACTTTGAGGCACCGCAGCGCTTCGGTTAATTCGCTTCGTCAAGAATCATACATGACGATGAATCCTGAGGCTCGATATATCACCCCAGTCCCAGCTCCAGCTGCTGTAGCTAATCCTGTGATCCGTCGTCTCGGCTCGGCTTCGTCATTACTAGGTAATCATACCTCAAGCCGTTCTAAATCACCTGGCCCTCCCTGGAAGCGAATTTTTAGTCGAAAATCAGCGAATGCTGATGTAGAGAGACCCGGTACACCTAGCCTCAGCCGTGATGGTGCCATGACACCATCTCTCTGGCCGCTGCCTGACAGTAGGCCAACATCGTCCTCGGACGGACGAAGGACCAGAGACATCTCACCCGAGTCGCTCCGACGGTTCCTAATAGAAGACCCTCCTTTACCACCAGTCACAGCTCTCAGCAATCCGCCGCCACGAGCCTTGCATATTCCAAGCGAGGTTGCCGAAGATATAGACGATGACGATGACAACTTTGCCACGTCTGCTATGCCAGAGACGCCAGTCTTCGCGACAAGATTATCCCCTCCTCCTTTTCAGCGGTGTGTCTCCTCAGACTCCAAACCTCAAACAATCACGAGTTCGAGCTCTCCGACGCTAGCTATTCGACCATCAAGCAGTCAGCAGGGCAAAGAGTCGAAGAAGTCTGGTGTAGTAGAGGAAGGGTCACCGCAACTGCCGAAGCTTGATACCACCGAAGCTGGCCAATGCGGCCGCTCTCCTTCGGTTTCGTCAACCGCCTTTGATACGCCAATGTCTCCACAGTCCTTGGCAGAGGAGCTTCCACCCTTTTACGATTCAAACGATGATGACGATGTCTTGTCAAGCAATGACGGCGATTGTTCAGCCTATAGACCACATGCAGGACCTTCAACCAAACCATCTTTCAAAGGATATAGTCTGCCGAGACATGCTGAAGAGCATAAGTCCGCAGACGGCTCTTGCCCTGGAATGATGGGCTTCCATACGGAAACTGCCTTTTCCAAGGCACATGAATCGACCATGCCGATCAGTGGCCCAAATTTCCTAAATGGACCTATGGATACTGGCCTAGGTCTGGATGACTTTGTCAACGAACTCGGCTTGTTGGTCGGTGGCATTGGCAATAAGAACACTTGAGTCGAGGTGTCACTACAGTTTGGAGTGATTTGTATTTGCTGTAGCGGAGACAGACTCGCCCGATTATTCGCGTGAGACTGCACAATGACCATTGCGACAATGAACATCATGATCGAAAAACCAACAGCGTACGGATTCGACCAGCGCATAAAATGCCTTGCATTATGGGTCAAGTTTTTTTTTCCTTAAATTTTTTTTTAGATTATGCCTTGTGCATCATAAATCTCTTTGGCGTTGGAATCAGGATTAGAAACGGCAGGCATATCGAAAACTTCTGATACCCCATATTTCTGGCAGCAGGTTTGAGCAGAATTTAGAGGAAGGGGATCGCATGATTTGGAGGTAGGCATACACATTTGGCCTCTCCTGGCGAGAGGGAATATGGCGTGTTCTTTTTTTTTTTTTTCAGCAGCCCTGGACTCAGGGGACTGTGCGATGTACTATAAGGGAGGCAGGTAGATGGAAGGGTAGGAAGACAGGAGACAGTTGTACACTTAGATGATGGCTTACCTGGCTGTCGCGAGCAAGACTTTCGCACTTTACAATCAAAGCGAGCTTCTACACAAAGCTTCAACGTTGCCACATTGTTTCGCATACACCGTTTCTGCCCATGCCGCAGGCGCGCGGACTTTATTTCTATTTTAGAGAGTAAGCCATGTAGTTTATTATACAGGAGTTTTGTGTCCAGAGCATTTACGGATATAGTAAATATAGATGTATTTTATATTAGACTTTGTCTCTCCGCGATAAGGATTATCTAGTATATAGTGTTATTATTTCTTTCTAACTAGTTTCTTAATATCTACTACCTCAGCGAATATATTTAACGTATCGCGACGCGGTTTATGTTTGCTTTAAGGCATGTTACAGTCTTGTAACCTGGTACAGCGCAATTACAGTATTATTACTAGAAGTCTTTTATAATTATCTAGGTTTTATTTTTATATATTTAAATATAATAAAATATACTTATTAAATTATTATAAAAAAAACTAGCTGCCAGACTACACAAGCAAATGATGCGGCTACACCGAGAGAACCTGAAGGATGTGGATGCTCGCTTCGTCGCGGCGCACCTCGCCGCCTTGACGACGTACCAAGGCTTATTCCGGCATCTCTCACAAACACTATCCATGTGAGCAGTGCCGCAGCTGCTTCTCGGGCAAAGCGTCTCAAGCTAATATCCCATAGTCATCAGAGAGACGCCCAAGACGCCAACATGACCAGTTTGAGTGCCCAGCAACTAATTCAACAAGCAGCCAGTGCCTCGCAGGCGGCATCCCAAACCACAAGTATCCTGCTGGATGACAACGTCACGCAGGGCTGCAGCCCGCCAGCATTTAACAATCTCCCTCATCGCCCGAAGAACCGAGACACGCCACAAGATGAGCCCCCGCCATACGCGCCAACTGACCCTTCGTCCTCCAATTCTCACCAAGGCCCGACGCCTCCACAAACCGATGCCGGTCCAAGCGGCTTCTCCCTCGGAAGAACCCTGAAAGCGTTTGCGCATTCCCTGATGCCAAAACCCGACCCCTTCGTCAACGCCCTGTGCCAGGCCGTTACAAACGGCGACATCCAGCAGGTAACGGGGCTCCTCTCACAGGGGATCAACATCGACGGCAAGGGGGAAGCGGGCAAAACGCCGCTGCAGTGTGCCATCGCGGCAGACCAACAAGACGCCGCCGAGGTCCTGCTCTCCGCCGGCGCCAACTACACATCCCCCGGCGGATGGGGCCACGGCATGCCGCCCATGTTCCAGGCCGCCGCAGCCGGGCGCGTCGGCATCGCCCGGCTCATCATGGCCCGGGGCGTGCAGGCCACGGAGACGAGCATAACCGGCCAGCCGTACCTCGTCGACGTCGTCGGCAGCAACAACCTCGACGGCGTGCGGTTCCTCCTCGACCACGGCGCCAGCCCCAACTCGTCCAGCATCTCGGGGCGCCGCGTCCTCGCCCAGGCCGTCGCGCAGAGCAACCCCGAGCTCGTCGAGCTCCTCGTCAAGCGCGGCGCCAGCCCCAACACCCCCGACATGACGGGTGGCTCTGTCCTCGCCGTGGCCGCGGAGAAGGAGGACCTCCGCACCGTCCGGACCCTGCTCGAAAACGGCGCCGACGTCGACGGTACGACTGTCTACGGCGCAACCGTGCTCGTGGACGCCATCGCCCGGAATCGCCTGGACCTAGCGCGCGTCCTGCTGGAGCACGGCGCCAGCGGCGCCAGCGACGACGTCTCTGGCCAGCCTGTTATTCTCGCCGTCCTCAAGAGCCACCGCATCCAGCCCGGCGACAAGGTCGACCTAGTCGGACGGCTGCTCGAAAACGGCGCGCCCCCCAACGCCAGGGACCTCGCGGGCACGCCTGCGCTCTGCTTGGCGCTCGACGCCGCGACCCCCGACCTGGCACGGGTGCTCGTCGAGCACGGCGCAGACACAAACGCCGCCACGGGCGCGGGCGAGCCGCCGCTCCTGTATGCCGTAGACAAGGGGCACACGACCCATGCGAGGATGCTGCTGGAGCACGGGGCGGACGCAAACGGCGCCCAGAGTGCGCGGGGTGAGACGCCCCTCGTGCAGGCCGTCGCCAGGCAGGACGTCGAGCTCGTCAAGTTGCTGCTGGAGCACGGGGCAAGTGTCGATGTGCGCGCCGTGGAAGCCGCGGGCACAAGCCGACCCGACATGTTGCACATCTTGGGCTTGGACAGAGTCCATCCCCCAACTTACCAGGCGTCGAGTTCGTGAGGACGGGAACACATTTCCAGAGAGTGGGCGTAAGAATCATCCATGTACGTAGTATAATAGTAGCAACCGGTCTATACGCATGTAGTCAAGTGCCCGAGTAAAAACCCCCCCAATGCTTAAACGCCCAAGTAATGCCCCCTATTGTCCCAGGATGCTCCTCAGCCACCACGCGTGGATGCGCGCATCGCCCGTCAACTCCGGATGGAAGCTGGTCCCGAGCACATTGCCCTGGCGCACGGCGACAATGTCCCCCGAGCCGTGCTTGGCGTTGGCCTGCGAGACGCCGGCCGCGGCCCTGTCCAGGCGCCCCGGCAGCGTGGCCAGGACCTCGACCTCGACGCCGGAGCCGGGGCCCGCGAGGACCTCCTCCACGACGGGGGCGCGGATGAAGACGCCTGGGAAGGGGGCGGCGTCGTCCCCGAGAAACGCGAGGTCCAGGTCCGCCTCGAAGCTCTCCGTCTGCCGGCCAAAGTGGTTGCGGTGGACGCGCACGCCCAGCCCGCCGATGAGCTCCTGGCCGCCCTTCTTGGTGGCGTTGGCCTGGTCCGAGAGCAGGATGAGGCCGGCGCATGTGCCCCAGACGGGCTTCTTTTGGACCCTGCAAGAGGTGAGCGTGTGTGGTGAGTTGGGGAGCAGAAAGGGGGCAGAACCAACTTTACGTAGTCTCTTAGCGGTTCGAGCAGGCCAGATTGCGCGGCGACAAGGGAGATGGTGGTGCTTTCGCCGCCGGGGATGATGAGGCCGTCGCACCGGGCGAGCTCTTGGGTGGTGCGCACCTCGATGACGGAGACGTGCAGCTTGAGTCGGTCGGCGGCCTTGCGCACGAGGTTGATGTGTTCGATGAAGCCGCCCTGGAGGGCTAGGACGCCAATGGTGAGGAGGATCATGGCGACGGCGCGGGTTTTCTGCCTGGAGGGTTTGGCGAAAAAATATGGCAAGGCGAGTGTACGAAAGGACGCAAGGGAGTGAAAAAGACGCAGATGATGCTTGAGCACGCAGGAGCTGGACAATCTATGAGGTGAGTTGAGACGAGATGATGAGATGAGTTTCATGGGCAAAAGGCAAAGTAACCATGTGCCTGGTAGATAGTACGGAGTACTCCGTACATGGTGGTCGGGTACGGTACGGAGCACCTAGAGATAAAATGACTAACGCAAACGATTTCATGACTCCATAAAAATCATCTTGGGGTGCGAGTGCCGTGGCGACGGCGAGAGTCGGGACTGGCGAGACGGGCGGCGGGTCCGCCTTTGCAGTCGACAAGGTCGACGTCTGGATGGGTTTTTTTTTTCGCAATACAACGTCAAGTCCGAAATGCTGGGTTCAAACGGCCCATGCCATGCCGGCGCCAGCAGGGTGCGCACATGGGTCACATTCCACAGCAGACGCGCATGCAGTCGCTAATGCAAGCACCGGCAGCCTCGGCCTGCAGCGGACCGTCTTGAAGCAGCAAGACATTTCAACGCCAAGTGACTCAAGTCTGGTCGGATGTCGAGATGGGAGGCGGCATGGCACGGCTGTCCAACCGGCGCTCGCCCAGGGACAATCAATGTACTTAGTATGTAAGCCCCCCTCTGACTACAGCCAAGGTGCATCCGCGTGCGCATGCATGATGCTTAGGGCGCGCCCGTAGTCGTGGCCTTGGGAGACCAGTCAGTCTCATGGGCTTCTTTTTGGCTTCTTCCCCTTTGCAGCCACCATTTGGTGTTGCGGCAGGTATACAGTGGTTGTAGATGCGCCAATACCTTGGGTGGCATGCGCAGTGGCCGAGCTGCTGTCTGGGCTCTGGAATCATGTATCGATTCATCAGATGTACTTGACCGGACATACCACTGTATATTGGGTGCGGGGCTGCCAGGCGATGGCCGCCGCCGATTGCCAGGTGCGCCAGGCACGCCCTTTCTTTGACCTCGAGCCCACCGTGGTTTTCATGTCTGCCGAGTCATTCCAGATAGTCGATGTCGGGATGCATCAGATGGAATGGCACCCACGACATTGTTGCCTGTATTCTACTTTGGAGGTATTGACGCATTACGGCATCGATCTGGCCTTTGAATTCTTGCCCAAGGCTACCAGCACATTGGTTCCCCCGATGCGAGTCTTGTTTCGTCCAGATTCAGTGCATCCGATTGCCACGTGAACGCCCCCAATGTCGAGATCTGGGCATGGCTTCTCATCTTGTCCGGCCCCACGTCCAGCAGGGCTGAATGAGTGTACTACCAGACTGCATGTTCGTCCACGTTCTACAGCAGACGGAGCT